TTTTGATGGTATCCCACATGAACCTTAGGGTTTCTTCATTTTGTTTTGATCTTTTTTTCTGATTGATCCTTTACAAAGAAGTTTTGAGGTATTTATCTTCAGTCTCACACTAATTCTGTCTTCCATTGATTCAATTCTGTTCCTTTGCCCGTTCAATGTCTTACCTATTTCTGTAAATTTTAGTATTTGTCTTCTGGATTTCTGTATGTAGATTTTGTATCATTTATAATTTTTCATTTATTTTGTCATTTTGTTCGTGTATTATCTTTCAAAATTGTTGTAGGGTTTTCTCTGTGTTTTCCTCAGTTTTCTCAGTGTTTTCCTTGATATGTCTCTCAATTCGTTGAAGATACCTAAATATAATTCTTTTGAATTCCTTATCATGGAGTTCCAATGCTGCGTCTTCCTCTGGGATGTGTTTTGGGTTTGTATCCTGATCCCTTGTTTTTCTTGCTTTATCTTGCTTCGTTGTGTGCACTGTGATGCTCTGTTGTCTCTGAGGCAGTATGATGTTTTTGTGTTTATATTTAATTGGTGATTGTATGTTAGAGTGACTTGCCCACGATTTTCTTTTCTTTGTTTTGTTTGTATGTTAGCTACACAAGGAGGGTTCTGTGCTGTGCTCCTCTATTCACCAGTTGACAGTACTTACACACTCACCACCTGTCTCCTTTCCTATTGTCAGCCTCTCATATGTCCCTGCCAACCTTGTCCTATTCTTGGGTTCATGGAATCCAAATGAGACTGCTGTCACTTTAAAATCCAAAATTGTTGCCACTTATAAAGATTCAAAATGGCTGCACCCTCAGACACATTAAATATCCAAATGGCTGTCTCTTTTAAACATTCAAAATGGCTGCCACATGTAAACAGTCAAAATGGCTGTGCCCTCCAGACAGTGGAAAGTCAACAGCTCAGGTTGTCTTCCTCCTTGCTGGTTTCCTTCCTAGTCATAGGCCTCCAGCGCAGTCGTCCCTGCAGCCCTTGGTGACCAGGGCTGATCTTTAGGTCAGTTCTCAGGTCCCAATACCACTTGGAAATAATTCAGCCTGTTGGTCCCTTCAGAGTAGCTGACAGTCTGCAGCTCTGACTGTCTCTGTACTCACTGTTTTTGTTCAGGTTTTTCCATTAGTTGGTGCCTAATCCATTTCTGTATAGTTCCTTTCAAAGCCCAGGGCTCTAGGATTATCTTCTGTATCTCTGTCAATTGGTTTTTCTTTTCTTTGTTGAAGAG